AAAGACAATCAAATTCAAATCCCATACTCAGAAAGTGCCTTTTTGAAAACATTCCGATGTTTTAACTTAGAATTTCTCATAAAACTCCGTAACTATCATACAAATTTATGCTGTATTCCGACAGCTCTCGGTACGTTATTTCAATCGCAGTTAGCTTGCTAAAGATATTCCGTTCCGGATATATGGTCACACTGGTGATTTTTATTTTTCAGTACGTGAAGGGCAGAAGTTTTGTTGGTGCTTCTGTGGCGATAACACAGAGATGGAATATAATCTGCAAGCGTTGCACAAACTGAATGTGAATCTGACTAACAATGATACTAATATCGATCGAGCATGATCGATTGGTATCAGCGGAGCATGGTCCAATATGACTTTTCAGGCAGAGGGTGACGGACACAGACGCTTACATGTACTAGTAAGTTATGCAATCCAGACGTCATGGGAATTGAGGTGTGTGTTTGTGTGTGACCGAGGCACGTTTCACAATCGTCAACCCTGCTCTTCAACCGGAGATTGAGAAGTCTATGCGGCCTGGTGGTCATTCAGACATCGCGGGGAGGCTTGAAAAATACATCAGGCTGGTAGTGCTGATGAGATTAAAATGATGCTCAGACAACTTAAAATGATACTAAAAGAAGAACGATTAACCTCTTTTCTTAATGTTCTAAAATAAATCAATGGTATTTAATTTAAGAAACCCTGAAAACCACTACGTTCCTAGCAGTAATAGTGGCCGAGTGGTACAGGTCACCAAATGATCACTCCGGAGGACGTTTTCGAATCCGACCGCCACCACCACCACCACCACCAACAACAACAACAACAACAACCATCACCCGAATTTCCCCATTCCGTGTTGTGCGGGCGCCCTTTGATAGGCCGATTCTCCCTTCCTGAAAATTGTATCATTACATGTTAAATAAAAGAAATTAAATTAAAAAATAGGGCGATGGATTGAAAGTTCCATTACACAATCTCGCTTCATTTCTCAACATCGAGAGATTTCCTATACAGTCACAATGACTTTTGTAAGATATTTATTTCTTCCCAGAGTTATGAATGAAGCTGCTCTTCGTGATACTTCCCATTTTTTCCCGGTATTTTTTCTCGTAGTCTTAGTGTTATAATTCCAAAAGGCGGTGCCAGTCGAGGACAATCATTTGTTGAGGATTACAGATGGGAGGTCAGTAATTTGGCATGCATAACACAAAAGCCTAACCAGAAACATACCATCACCGTTCCTGGCGATACGTCAAATGATGCATAGGTCGCTTTTCTTTCAGACAGATCATTTGGTCCTCGGTGGTCTTGTTATATTTGTGATCATTGAAAGTTACCTGCTGCTCACAAGTGAATAGTATCTCACAACACTAGGGTTCAAGTGAAAAAGTGCGTACTAACAGGCACCAGACTGACCATTAATTGCCTCAAACGCATTGGCGATGAGAAGGGCGTGGGAGAAAGAAAGTGAAGGTAGCTCAACTACTCTGTTACACGCACCCTCAAATTCAGTGCCATAGTGAACAATTGGTTAGCGCAGAAATGAAACACGATTGGGCTAGAAGAGGCGACAACAGATGAAAGGAGTAATTTAAATGCGGATATTGATTTTTTTAAATCCTCGACTGACCACTCAGGACTGATAGTCAAAGGCCTGGGTACGCACTTCGCAAACCAAACAGGGAAAGCACGACAATACAGACTTAAGTAAACTAACTATTTGAGAATTCTTAAGGTGCAGTTGTCACGCTACTTAAATGAGTAGCATCTCAATACAATTGTACTATCCAACAAACCAGAAAATGATTTTTTCAATCATTTCATTTCATTCGTCTTTATCATGATCCATATAAGTAGAATTATATTCAAAAAATTATTTTTATTTCTTTAAGACAGGGAATAATAAGCTATTCAGTTGGTGCGAACCGATAATGCCTCCGAATGAAACCTTTATTCGAAAAACCACACCATTCCACTCTCCCCCGCGGACCGTAATTGAACATCGAGGGAGAGGTGAGACTCGATGAACACTCACAAACGAAACGTGTACAAACAATTTCCTATTCATGTTTTCCCCAGTGTCTATCGAATATGGGTCACCTCTCTATAGTGAGTCCTCGCCATAGACCGGAACGAATAGGGACGAGATATATTGATCAGCATTTCTGTAGAACATCAATGTCCAATAGGCACTCGTGTACTTCACTGGAATTGTAAAGCAAAAATGGGTACAAACCATTTTGTGGAGATATTTGATGTACGATCGAGTTGCCTCCCCGAGGGGATCAGCAAATGTTCGACGGATGTGGACAGTTTGCATGCGAACAGAAAACGACAACGGCCACGACGACCAAACGACGCAAAAAGATTCTAACCATCTGATCAGATAGACCAACCAAGTTCGATGAGAATTGGGTTGCGTGGTCAGTAAACAACACAACAATCTTGTCTGCAGATGTTTTACAACTCATCCGGAGAATTTTCTTCCTCATGCACGTTATTTTCTCATAGTCTGAACGTGTTGGAGAATTTTTCCCCTCGGGGGGGGGGGGGGGGGGGGGACGAGATGTTCCCTTTGATCTATTTTCTTTGCAAACCATCACACGTATTTGCGAATTTTCTATCAATTATCCAGCTTGGGCAATGCAATATTGTCTCTATTTTGTGAAACCATTATCCTCAAAGTTTGATCAGTATCTTAGAGCGTATAGAAATTCCATTTATTACACTTAAGCATGCTTACTAATCTCAAAAATTATCGACCTTCATCGGTGGGCACCGCAACACCCAGAATGTTTTCAACCGAGTCATAACCCCGAGTGGTTAGTACTCGAATGATCGAGGTGTGTTCGCCGCGTAAAACTCACAAATATCGGCTGTTCTTCCTCCAGTATTTGTGGTTGTATAAGTTGTTCAAACTTATGGGCTCACATCTCGGTTAACAATTTGCGCTAATCGTCAAACAGAATGAAATATACAATTTCAAATAGCGTGCAAAGTGAAGAACGTCGGTGAGGCAATTCTCTTGTGACCTGGTCCCTGTTGGTTAGGAGTCGGGCCAGGTAGGATACAGATGAATTCTAATAAATGTTATTACGAGAGGGTAGATGCCGAAGGAGGAACGTGTAGACGGATGGGAACGACGAGAGGATAGATCAGGACACAGTGGATGAATACGGTCGGCTAGAATCTTATTGGAAAATTTAATACCACAGTTGATATTACTGGTAATAATAATAATAACTGGTAATAATAATGAGTCAAGTAAAATCAATGATACACGACTGATTATCACCAAACCACGAGAAACGATTTTGAAGTCTTGTTTTAAGTGGTCGGGCAACAATATAAGAGAGCAATAGAGTAAAATAGAGAAAACGCATTGATGAACGAAAGAGGGAAAAACTGACTATGATGTTCGGAATTGTCTGAATGGAGAGGCGTCTCGATTTCTTCATGCAATTATGAATATCTGTAGACCACTGGAAATTACTGCCGATTGTGACAACCGGGTACTCGATAGAGGTCACTTTGGACAGAAAGCTGCAGTTAAGGGTACCAGAGTCCATTGGAAATATGGAGTGAGAAGGACGGAAAATGTACTCTAGGGACTTGAATTTGTTAAGACAAGACTGGTTAAAAAATTGTTGAACAGAAAAGATGAAGAATGGCCTGATTCTCTTGGCGCTGATCAAATGAATAGTATGTTTCCCTTCTACCCTAAAATACTGGGTTTAATCTTCATTTAGGTCACTAGATCCGCACAGTGCTTCCTAATCTTTCATTTCACCTTTCATTTACTGTCTACACGATAACGTTCATCATACAGTTAGATCAGAATCCTCCACTGGTCTCGAGAGAAAAAACTATTTACAATTTATTTTTTTTTTAATTTGAAATAGAGGAATGGCGTGCCAAAGAAACATTTTCCAATCGTGCCATCCCATCTGACTGTTTCAGAATCCCTCTCATTCCCTATTGATCCGGCTGCATTCGATGGAGGTGATAAATCCGGAACAAAAGTGAGCAAATACAGGTAGATAATAGTTTGGTGATTTTAACACTTCCGTTTCTATGATGGTTTGTATCTGGGACAAATTTAAATGAGGTGAGCTTTTTTCCGCAGTTATGGGACGTTTGATTTGTCCCACTGCATTCGGATGTTTACCGACTCAATACTAGTACCAGTCTTGTTTGAGTGCACTTTTCCCTTAAACCGTTTTCAAACCTCAAACACACCGTCAACCCCCATTCGTACCCAGAACAGCAATTGAGCATCGTTTTCTTTGGTGGAGGAAGATTATAATCATATCCCTCAACTCGCCCTTCCCGGGGACGGGAGGGGAGAGAGAAGAGGAGGAGTGTGGTCATCAATTATTCAAACACAAATGTCATTGTGACCAAGTACAGGAGTTTGCTCAATTGATTCATTATGATCTTCCCATTGGTCCCGATCACATCGTGTCAATACTGTATCACGGGTGCTGAAGTTAAAATATTTACCTGTCCGCATTTAACTCACAATTGCTTGTGAGCAGTGTTGTGGGATGGGTGATATTGATTGATTGATCAATTAGAATTGATCATCCTTCAGACTTCACCTTTACGCATATTCCGCAGTGCTTCCAGTTGGCACAGTGGTAACACACGCCTTCCATGCGATAGGTCCGGAGTCCAAATCCCGGATGGGACGGTGGTAATGCTCTGCTGATGAGCTCTAAGAAGAGTGAATCTCGAGTCTAGTGCTTCTTAGTGTANTCAATCAATCAATCAATCAATCAATCAATCAATCAATCAATCAATCAATCAATCAATCAATCAATCAATTTCCCTGTCCATTTGCCAGTTCCGATAAAAGGCCCGTATAAATCGGCACATATGATCGGTGAAAATCGAACGCTGGCTTGTATGTACTTGCACCCATGAAGATATTGGATAGTTGACATTACTCCTCAAAGTAACCAAAATTACCAAAATCCGAAAACAATAATACTTACTGAGTAAGGAGAGAAATATCCGCGCATCACTATTCGTGGTCATAATCGAACCGTACTGGTACAGATTTCTGCAACAAATATCGAAAAGAGAAGTAAGAGGATAGGAGGACGAAAAACAAAACTATCCTGTGATTCATAATCATTTCGACTGGTCATTCAACTTTCCCTGTTGTTGTTGTTGTTGTTGTTGTTGTTGTTGTTGTTGTTGTTGTTGTTGTTGTAATTGCATGGATTTTTTCTCTCAGCCTTATACTTGGACCTCGTCAACAACTCACTCTAACACAAACCGGGAAATATACTCATAGATGTGAGACTGGCACACACACACACACACATACACACACATGCATACGATACGGGCACGTGTTGGACGTAAATATTTTTGTTGTTTGTTTGTTTTCGATTTCTACTCAGGCTCCCCAACTCTCTTCTTCTATTTTTGATCGTAGTTAAACTGATTAGAGACTGCGAGAGAGACGACTCATAGTGGTTAGTTATGCAAATGAGAAATAGAACGCTAATGGATGATGAATTTTTGTGGAGAAATTCGTACGTGTCAGAGGCTAACCCGCTCAAAATTCCACATAATGAATGCTCGAGACAATCACAATAGTGTGTGCTATATTCCTGCTACATATAGTCCGTTGGATCATATCTATTCTCCTGTTACATTCAGCCCGATTCCTCGGGGGTAAAAACACAGTGACCCGCGATCAGCAATGGAATATTTCAGGTAAGCGGAGCGAAAAGGGCGGGGGGAGGGGGGAGCGGAGCACAGAACAACATTTGATTACATGATAAATTTTGTCGTCTACAGAAGAAATGAACCAAAACTGCAAACATAGCTTGTTTTGTGTGTTGCATAAAGTGTTGTGCAAAGTACAAAGTGGAACAGTCTGACCAACTTCTGTCTTTCTGGTGGTTAAGTTGGTGGTGGTGTGCATGCACTTGTCTTGTCGGATCCCGGAGTTTGCAATGGATTCACGTACTGCTCTGATGCAGTCCCCAACAAGGCTGATATCAGTGCTGCACAGTTCTCTGTATACGATAAAATTCCTCATGTCAACGAGGCGAACTTCATCACCTCACGTTATTCGTGCGCGGAAGTATGCAAATGATACGAAATTGGTTAATTATCTTCTGAAGAACTGGGTTTGAATCCAGCTCCGGGAACACAGTGTCCAGGATAAGCACAACTTGTGCCCAAGGTGAAATTCAGTCATCAAAAAATGCGGATAAAGAACTTTGTTGCACGTCCTATGAGCAGAATTATCATGTCCGTTTGTCACAGAATCCGATGGAAACAGGAGGATTGAGCGGGTTAATTGATTCCTATAAGAAACCACAACGCGGCAACTACCCCAACGGATGAAAGACAAGGAGACAAGGAGGCACAGGAAGCGCCATTCTTGATCATCTATGGTGGATACAGGCTATCATATGAGACCAGAATCCGGATTCAGCGTAATCCATCGTGTGCCTCCTCCTCCAGCCCCTCTAACACAGTACGATTAGACATACACGCATTAGCAACCGCTGAGGTGATTGGCCTTCGCCTGTCCGTACCAGAACTATGCGCACAAAAGCGATTGGTTCAAGCTGTCCACTTACCCTGGTATCAAATTGATCACCAACATTATCACCACCACCATCAACACACCAATCACAAACGACCTCACCCGAAAACCGACACATAGGGCTCATCCCACCCCTCTCCTCATCCGGAGTGACCTTTCGACCCAGCGCGAAAACATGGCCCCACTAACAGCAACCCCTGGTTCGATCTGTACAGGTACCAGTATGAACCATTCGAAAACAGAAAGACATTTTTTCGCCTTCGGTTCAGGTTGTGAAAACGGGAACCGGGAATGGAACCGACGCAGATGAGCTGAAATACGAACACCCTCGTAGCTTAATGGCACATTTTCTATAGTTCTTCCTCGATGCCATTTGCCATCATTCTGTGTGGTGTTTTTCTACTCTCCCCCAACCGCGGCTCTGAACTCAGACGGTTTCAAGTTGATCAGCAATCAGAATATGAGGCAAACAGAGACAAGCCGGTCGTTGTACACAGAATGATGCGAATTGTAAGATGAGTACACATTATGTGTGGAGGAACGATTGATTGGCTTCAGTGGAAAACGGTCACTTACTTCGCCTCGTTGAACAGAGCACAGACCATAGGTTGCAATAATTTTTCCATTAGCGCCAAATGTATCCAATGTGGATTCGTTGAGCTAAACAAAATGTGTGGAGTAAAATTCAAACAAAAGAAAAGCTTAAACACGGAGTATTCTCAAAATTCACGACGAACATGCGAACCGCATGCGAACCGAGATTGCTTACTTGTTATAGCACAAGGGTTTGACCCCTGAGGATTGGGCTGGCTTGTTCGGGCTGAGAATGGATAGGAATGATCGGTTGTTGGGTGGGATCGATTTGTCAATGGATCCGGATTTCGTTCGGTCCGCATGGTTTGACAAGTAGTTCAGCAATACCGAGGCCTCAGGACATTTGGGAGCAATCTTTTGCAATAACTCGATCACGGACAGTTCTCGATAGAAATGCGGTGAACTATTTTTCAATCCGAATCGGAGACAAGATTCAGCATTCACTTGATATTGATGGCGGGGTTGGAGTGAAAGCACGACAGGAAAATCAAATTAGGTGAAGTGCGGTTCACTTCCGATTATGCAGATGCACTGGACTGCATAGAATAGAAATACATAAACATGTCTAAGCCACTTCGTACAGTTTCCATTCTGAATTTCTTCGAGATGTTTAAAAAGAATACCGTTACTCTCAGTTTTAATATGCCGAGGGATTTGTGCGTATAATTTTGTCATTGGTTGCGTCCATTTCGCATCGTTCAAATAAAGAGATCCCGTAACTAAACAAACAATGTCTTGAAGTGAGTTACATTTGTGTTTGGCCAGCCGTATTGTGGAGTTGCTCGACTTCTCGTCCAGTCACACATCCAATATCCGAGTTCCAGGCCAGGGAAATTTCCTGTATTTCCGTTTTCACACACTTTTTGCTGGTACACTGGATCAGAATTGGACTGCTCAACTGATAATTATCCCAGTGCTGCTTCTGGTGCTGCTGCATGTTTTCACCAAGGAAACCAACGATTGGTCACGTAATCACACAACCATTCATTCATTCGCATGTTCCCGCCTTCTGTTCCGGAGACGTGAACTTATCATCATCAATAGAGATCGATGCTACATTAGAGACGAAACAGTTACTGATCAGTTTAAACACTTCTTATCCTTCACCGTGCGACAATCAGATTTATCAAAACCTTGACATCCGCAAGAAAGTATCTGGAATGCGTAATACGTATTATATGTATATATCTATATATATCCCACACAGTATCCTCTTGAACTAACAGACTGTGCTACAGACATCTTCATGAACACCACAATTCCAACACTGGTCACATCATGTGACTGTAGTACAAACAGAGGTGAGCAATTGATCGATTTACTCCTACCCGTCTGCCTGCTTCGAACCATGACCCCACCCTCAAATTTGTCCCCACTACTCATTTCGTTGCCCTACTTCATCGCTCCCCTCTACCTACTCTCACTTGGTCATAAACTCACCCCCCCCACACACACACCGCTTTGCGCACGCATTGATTTTCTAACTGAGTTATATTCCAGGGTTATAAACCCCATGAAACAGGCCGATAAGCATATCTAACGCGACTTATCTCAAATTTCCAAACTGCCATCATATGGACGTACGCGAGCATGCACAAGGGGCGACAAATGTCACGTAAGATGATCGATTATTCGTACGGGAAGAAAACAAAACAGAATAAAACGTATAGGTAGGAGTCTGTTTACCTGGCAAGTAAATAGACTCTATCATCGTTGTCCGCCTGACTCTCTCCCATCAAAAGCTTTGGAATAATGTGTTCCGTGAAATGTTTTGTATGCTGTCGAGTTCATTGGTGCTGCGAAAGAGTGAAAATTTTCTATGCGGTTGGTTTGATACAATAGAAATATTCTGTCCTGGAGGATTGGCAGGTCGATAAAACCAGCATTTTCGATATTCAATATCCGCATCAGAGTTCATAAGCGACGACAACATAATACAAAATAAGATACCCCATTTATAATTCTTAGGATGTGTCCCGATAGATTGTGGAATAACCTGGGTAAATCGCTTCACAGCACAGTACCCATTTTTTTATTACACACTATCAATATCAACAGGAGCAGGAGCAGTGTGCGCACCTCAGACCATGGGGACCAAGTCACGCTAATGACAGCGACTCAAACAGTTTGACCACCACCACCACCAATTGGAACGGCAGTGAACAAAGTGCTATGTAGCAGATGAGTTTGCTTTTGGTGATTTATCAGCCTAAAGTTAAGGAATGTGGAGTGAATTTTAGGCATCTTCTAAGAACTGCACCGGGAAAGACGATTTCAGAAACATATATAGAGTCATAAAATAAACATGCGTTTGTACAGCACATCAAGTACACGAAGATCGAGTTGTTTAAATCCTTAGCGGTGTCCGTGCATAGGTTCGAATNATCCTACTATAACTATCACAATGGGACGAAATCCAGGTCCGATGGTGCAAATGAGAGATTTTGTTCCACATTTCGCAGTTTACCATCTCAATCTCTTTTAAATTATACTGTAAACTGTGAAACACATTTTACCTCGTGTGAAAGATCTTACAATAATATTCTATGGGACATCACTCACCCATTTCAGATTTGCAAATATAAAAATTCGGGGTTAGCCTAATTTTGAACGGAAGACTGTTAAGTTTCAGCTGAACTCACCACAAAAGGACAAAACTAGACTACTGTTCTCCGGTAATGAGTTCTTTGTGGCGGCTTCTTCCATCAACCGCTTCACATCTTTCTTCAACTCGTCCAACAGAGCGCGACGTTTCGCTCGAAATGTATCATTGTCTGCGCGAGAGAACAGAAAACAAACACATCCAAGTTAGAAGTAGGTGGTTGTCCGAAATGGAACGAGTCTTCAAATTGTGACGACGATATGATTGTGTAGCTATC